TGTGTGCCCCCCCCCCCCCCCCCCCCCCCAATCCGCGGAGGGGGGATAGGGGAGGCTGGGAGGGAGCACCCCCCTGAAATGATGGCAGATAGCACAGGAAGCAATAGCTTCTTTGCTATCTGCAGGGTTTTTTTTTCTTTTGTATTCTGACAGTTGGTTGTCAGAATAAAAAAATAAAAAAAAGGCATAGGAAAGCATAGCTAGATTCCTATTGGCTATTTCACTTTGCAATAGCCAATAGCAAACTAGCTATTGCACCCGCCCTCTGCTGCTTTCAATCACCAGAAGAGGACCTGATAGAAAACTTCAGGTCCCCCTCTGCTGATTGACAGCAACAGTGGGCGGGTGCATTAGCTAGTTTGCTATTGGCTATTGCACTTTGCAATAGCCAATAGGAATCCAGCTACTGTATGCTTTCCTATGCCTTTTTATTTTTTTAAATTTGTTTCTGACTGACGGCGGGCAGCGGCTCCTGATGTCAGAAAAAAAAAAAGATCGCTGGGAAAGGTTTACTGTGCTCGAGCAGATAAACCTTTCCGGGAGGAAGTGTCTCTCTCCCAGCCGGGAGTGTTTCCCCGAAAATAAGACACTGTTGTATATTTTTTTTGGCTCAAAAAAACACACTAGGTCTTATTTTTGGGGTAGGTCTTTTTTTTTTTTTAAATGTACAACAATCCACACTTATTCATGTAACAAAATATGGTGGTCAGGGCAATCAGGTGTGCCGTACCTTTCCAAGAGCAATTTGGTAACCAATCGCTGGCCAGGATGAGCGAAGTGCGCTTTCACGATTGATTCCTCACAGGCGGAGTGCTTTTGGTATCACTCCACCTGTGACAGGAGCCGGCGCTATAGAGGAGGCATCGGCTTATGCGGCTCTGCTCCCTCCACTGCCGCCTCGATTCCTCTAGCGCTGGCTTTGTTGGCACCGCTGATTCTCTCCCGCCTTTCTTCAAGTTCCCCCTTATGCCACCACCGGCCCTGGGAATGGTCCCAACTAGGTCTTATTTTCGGGGCAGGTATTATTTTCGGGTTAAACAGGGTAATAGCGGGAGACTCCCGGACCGTCCGGGAGAGTTGGGATGGACTAGGTGTTATAGACTACACTTCCCAGAGTGCTGTGAGAGGGGAGGGGCGTGTTCTCCGGCTGGGGGAGAATTTACTTCATTCATTCCCCAAGTGGAGAGCGGCTAAACAGACAGTGTGAACAGAGCTGGTGTGTGCAGTGAGTTGCTGGGACTGTACCCACATGTCACGGATGTGTCCCTGTCTACATGTATGCTAGAACGAGGGATCGACTGCCATAGTCTGCGGAGTGAAGCTCCATATTGCGGTGATCGTGTACGATGAATTGTCTGGGAGGAATGGACGCCGTGGCGGATGATCAAATCTATTACAGGCTTCAGAGCCTGCTGATTCATCTCCCAGGACCGGTGAACTATCTCCCTTCTGGAGGATATCTGCTGACATTGCGGGACACTCCTGATGAGCATATCCCTCCAGGATGAGTGAGAGACCTCTGGTCTATGCTTACTGAGAACACCAAACACCGAGCCTGTTATCCAATACATTGGGCCCCTACGTTAGCTAGCCAAAGATTATACCACTAGCCAGTTGCTTAGGTACTCGGCTATATTGGGACTAAGAAAGGGTTTTATTCTAACCTTTAGGCCCCATTCACACTGAGCGTATCACAAGTTGGTCTCACGATTTGCATTTTGCGCGACATCGCGCGGTTTGTCGCGCGACATCGCGCAAATGGTTGCATTGAGCAAAGTAGAATCGCACAGAAATCCGCTACAAAAAGGGTCCTGTTGTAGCGACGCACAACCCGCGACAGCGACGAACAGAGCCCCATTGCCATGCATTGGAGAGCGATATCGCGCTGTAAATATCCGCGATATCGCGCGGATTACCGTGCGATAAATCGCTCAGTTTGAATGGGGCCTTATTCTGTGTAGTGGGACTGTTGTCAGTACAGCCATTGCTGATATATAGTCACCCTTATAATGGAATCTACTACGGCAGGGCTCAAAATTTCCACTCGCCCCCTCGCAATTGGCAAGTGAAAATTGGGTGGGGGCGAGTGGAAATTCATTGGGGGGAGGGGGCGGGCGCCGCCGGCAGTATGAGAAAGGAATCTGTCGCCGCTTCAGCAGCGGCGATCACCCGGTCAGCTCTTCCCCGTCTCTTCTCCTCTGCAGCCGCTCTATAGCTGCAGCGGCTGAAGAGGAGAAATCCGGCTGACCGCTGTGCTGTGCGTTCTTGCTGACCGTTGTGCCGTGTGTTCCTGCTGACCGCTGTGCTGTGCGTTCTTGCTGACTGCTGCGCTGTGCCTTCTTGCTGACCTATGCGCTGTGCGTTCTCGCTGACTGATGCGCTGTGCGTTCTCGCTGACCGATGCGCTGTGCGTTCTCGCT